CCCCCCCCCCCCCCTAAGCCCATCAAAAATCGCTTACAAAAGAATATAAGCCAAGGGCTTAAAGTCAGAGGTTTACGGTATTATATATCACATATTTTAACAATAAACACATTATTTTTTATATTATATTACATTAACATATATACATGGAGCATATATAAAGTCTTTAAATGACAGTACATTGTGTTTGTAATTATAATTACTATAATTACTTGTGTCGAAAGTAAGAAATGAAGTGAACAAATCCATATATATATTTGTTGAAAATTTGTTGCAGTGGTTATCTTCCATTTGTTTTTCATGCTTCACACTGTGTATCTTTGAACATTTAATCAGCAACTAATTATAGGAAAGGATGTATTTACTAGCTCATTACTCCATATTACCAGGTACATAACATGCAATACATCAACCTTGCAATCCATGCTTTAACCCCTGCAGTTGCTCCCTCTCCTGCAGCATGTTTGGGAGGGAGAGGAAGGAATGGAGGTACTGTAATTTCTATATTTAGCCCCTTTCTCTTCAAGCCCCTCTCTAATAACCCCCTCCCCCCTCATTTGGATACAAAAATCAAAAATAAATAAGCCCCCACCCCCCCTCATTTGGATACAAAAATCTAAAATAAATAAGCCCCCCTCCTCCTTTAACCATGCAGTCCCCATTCAATTAATTCTTAAAATTATGAAATATATTGCATTTCTGCAGTATTTTAATAAAATATAGTACAACAGTAACTCTTAATATGGACATTTTTTAATGGTAACCAGACTTATTGCATATATTTAGAACAAGTGCCCCTCAATGATGCTTAGAAAACAATAATACCCAGGAGGCTTGATACAGAAAATAAAGTAGTTATTTGATTGAAACTGGTAGCTATTTCAATTCTACTGTATCTTCTTTTATATATAATTGGATTAATTGCCAATATATTCACATAGTATAATAGTTTGGAAATGGAATCAATACCTGTATATTTTTAGCAAATGAGCATTGTTATTGATTAACAATGACTCTTATTGCTATAACCAACATTGTTTCACATAGCAACAGACAAGGAAACATCTGTATTTAAATTCACTACTTATTTTTTATCCAGACACAAATTGATGCAAAAATTGTTTCAGGTTTGACTTAGTTATAGCCTTACATCGGGCTATTCCATTTAATGTCCGTACCCCCCCCCCCTGTCGACGATCCCTGGAATTCTTCAGGGGTAAAGAGTTTTGAGCTTGGAATTCGTCAGGGGTAAAGTGTTTCGAGTTTGGAATCCTTCAGGGGTAAAGGGTTTTGAGCTTGGAATTCTTCAGGGGTAAAGGATTTTGAGCTTGGAATTTTGGAATTTTTTGAACAGGGGTAAAAGGTTATGAGCTTGGAATTCTTCAGGGGTAAAGTGTTTTGAGCTTGGAATTCTTCAGGGGTAAATGATTTTGAGCTTGGAATTTTGGAATTCTTCAGGGGTAAAAGGTTTTGAGTTTGGAATTCTTCAGGGGTATAACCATGAAAAACATGTATCCTCGACAGGGGGTGTACGGATATTAAATGGAATAGTCCACCATGCTGTCAAGTGGCAACCATTTACAAAGCAATATTTTCACCTTATTTTCACCAGTTGTTTCAGTAACAAATAACTGTATACTTGCAGCGCTGGTGAGCACGTGCATTTTGTATCTCAGAGTTACAATATTGTAAGATTTCTCACAAGCATAAAGTGTCCGAATACTTTATATGAATTTTTTACGGCAATCGAACCCACAACGTTGTGAAGCCCCAGTCCTAAGATATGCATGTATGATAGAGCAATCTATTTTACTTATACCTTTTGTAGCCTCAAAAATGTTGCAGTTGCACGTTTTGTACCGGAAGAAACACATTTTCGACCGATAATTTTCCTGTTATAATCGCTGGTTGCCTGGTGTTATATTATTACAGATTACCTTTGTTCTCGCATTATGTATGTTCAAATATGATCTGCATGCTGATTACGTTTATACATTTGGACCTGGGATATAGGTTAATATTTAGGAATAGGGATATAATAGAATATTTCAGTAAGGAATATATCAGGTTATTTGATTATGAAACATGGTATAGAAGAACTTCTATCCATTTAATTTTAATATGCAAAAGTATGTAACCATGCATATATAAGTTGCTTTTGTATTTCCAGGAATTCACCACAACATTGACTGTTGATCAAAAGGACAAAGTACTACTAGAACTTTTGACCAATGGAAAGGGTAGTCTACAATCTTGGACAAAATATTTTGGCAAAACTTATTTAATCTTATTCTTTCTTGTTCTGTTGTCTTATTTTCCGTCATATAGGCAGATGTCTACTTTATATCAAATCTTAGGCACTCTCGTCCCTCCCCCTATATCAATGTTGCTATTTTCGGTTAAATCTTCAGGGAAAAACAGGTGTATTGGCGCAAACAACATTGATATTGGGGGAAGGGAAATAGAATGACATTTTTGCCATATATTTTGTCCAGGATTGTCCATAGTCAGTTCAGAAATGGAACGTATTACCTTACTTATTCAATCTGGATTTTTACAAAAGCAGTTTATTTCTATGTTAGGGATATGCTAAAGTGCGTCAGACCTATTAGAATTTTTCATCCAAATTATTAATGCAAGGACTGCCTGGGGGGGGGGGGGCCGGGGGGTTGTATACATCAGAATTATTCAATATCTAAGAACTTTATAACAGTTAATGCATATACGTATTGTCCTATGATTTTCGTCGAAATTTTAAAGTGTCTATTTATACAAGAGGCCACTGTCATCTTCACAATTCACTTGCTGACGGCTGATGGGAGAAGGGGGTGGGGGGGGGGGACGGTTGGGGTCTATAACAGGTGTGACATAAGTGAGAGCAAATCGATCATTAGCTTTAGAGAGAAGTAAATTTAGAAATGTTTGAAATGATGACGATCCAATTTTGTTAAGCGCTTACACTGCTTTAATGTACAAGTAACATTTACCTACTTTTAGGAAGCGAAGGGTAGGTCGCCTTCAAAAATACCGAGTGATGTCTCAATTTATCTGCGGTATCTTCATCAGGAAAGTGGTATCCCATGCAGTGAGCTGGAGAGGCGTTATCCGCAGTATGCCCCACGGAGCATTTATCGACATGCTAAAAAGCGCGTAGGCGAAGAAGTATTTGACAAGAGGAGGCGAAACAAAGGAAGACCGCGTAAACTGACATTAAGGGACGAAAGAAGTATAATTCGTACTATACACAAACTGCGAAATGAGTCTGTTTCCTTTTCTTCAAAACGAATCAAAACTGAAGCAAACATACCTGAAGATGTTAGCTGTCGCAATGTTCGAAGATTCTTGAACAGAAAAGGGTACGGATATAGACAGGCAAGAAAAAAAGGGCTTCTTACAGAGACTGACAAAAAAAAGCGAGCTAAGTTTGCAAAGAATGTTTTAAAAAGATTAAAAGAAGAGTTGTGGACCGAAGGCATTAGCTTTTACTTTGATGGGGTTGGATTTGTACACAAAACGAATCCCAATAATGAAGCCAGATCAAGTGGTGCGAGAAATTGGAGAAAGGCTGGAGAGGGTCTAATATATACAACTAAAGGGAAAAAAGAGGGTAGCGGTGGAAAAACGGCCAACTTTTTTGTTGCGATTGCTTTTGACAAAGGTGTGATTAGTTGTGAGCAGTATCATTCCAAGCTTACTGGAAAGATGTTTGCTGAGTTCGTTAAGGAGCATTTTAGTTCTGTCTTTGAAAACAGTGCTAATCCTCGTGGAAAACTATTTCTTCAGGACGGTGACCCAAGACAGTGCTCTAAAGTGGCTCGTAAGGCAATAGATCGTTTAGGATGCAGAATGTTTGCGATTCCTCCACGTTCTCCAGATATCAACCCGATTGAAAATATTTTTCATCTTGTGCGTAAACAGCTTCAAGATGACGCTTTAAGAAACAAAATCACGAAAGAGTCTTTCGCTGCATTTTCAGAGCGTATAAAACACACCGTGAAAAACATCCCAGTCGAAACAATTAATAAAACAATTCTTTCAATGAACAAACGAATGAAATTGATTGTTAAAGGAAAGGGTAACAGAACAAAGTATTAGATTATATAACAGATCGTTACTATAAACATCACTTGAGTACCTGTTAGTTGTATAATTTTTGATTAAGCATATGACCTCATAATATTCTGTCTGAAGTAAATAAATGTAACCTAAAATTCATATCTCCAATTATTTCTATATGCACAATTTAAAACAACACATTACCGCACACGTTACCAACACGTTACCAACACGTTACCAACACGTTACCAAACGCTATATCTTGATATAAACCCCAAAGTATTGTTTTATGACACGTTACCACACGTTACCACAATAATTTAAAAAAGAAGTATATATTACTTATTTAAGAAAAATGACGGTAACGTGTTGTTTTCTTCTAAGTATCTTAGTATTTCAGTGGTAACGTGTGTGGTAACGTGTGTGGTAACGTGTGTGGTAACGTGTGTGGTAACGTGTGTGGTAACGTGTGTGGTAACGTGTGGTAACGTGTCGTAAAATGGTGACACGTCGCTGAATGTTTAATATATAAGGATGATCGTTTTATTCAACATCACTTCCAGACATGACTAGATTGCTGAAGCAACGAGCACATGCTGGTATGTCCTTACTTTCATTTGACGGAATTTGGACGCTAAACTTAAATATATTCCATCTGGAGGACATCATATCATTCTCACGCTCGTCACGACTATTATATTTCCCCAAAAACTCAATCGGCCCCTTACTGGTAGCGAATATTGGGATGGTGTTTTCTCGTGGAATACACAAATCAGTGGCAAACATATTCTTTGGCCTTGGAAGATGAACTGTCTGCCCTTCCAGTAGCAACAAAAAGTCACTCCACTCGATCAATTCTAGTGACCATCGAAAATCATTCAAGTATGCGACCTCACATTCCTCTAATCCAACCCAAGCATACTTTCCCGGAGCAGGATTTATGAACGTTTTGTATATTAACTCCAGAGGATTGAGAAGAAATGACTTTCCGCAATTTGTGGGACCAATGAGCAAAACGTTCAATCGCTTCTGTCTTCCCGTCTCAAGAAGCTGACGCAAGGCTGAAGCAAAGTAATATAAATTAACTCCATTTTGATGTAGGACTTGTTTTGCACACACCAACCACTCTCCGTTGCACAAAGGTAAACATTCGCTTTCGAGATGAGCTCTAAGGATTGATATTCTTGATTCTTTCGCTCTTTGGACATTTTTGGAAGCGTCATTCATTTTCCAAGTCATGTCCAAGAGTTCTGATAGAGACTTTGAAGATTTGTTTATGATAAATTTGTACAAATCCTTTTCGCCCTCAGAATGACGAGTTTTTGCAACGACTATTAACTCGCTATCGCTTCTAATATCATTTGCGACAATAAATTCAGAAACATCGATGTTGGATAACTTCTTGGGTTTCGAAGAACTTGGTAGGTTTTCCTTTATTTTCTCATTGTTAGTAGGTGCTGAGATTCTCCTTT